AGCCACTAGGTGGCGCGTTACTTTTTTTAAAAGTCACCAGATCTAGTTACTTTTCCAATACCAACCTATTTTTGTTTTCTCCACAGCCATAGGTTGGTACCCTTCCCTATCCTTTTACATTGGGTTGATGACGTCATGTGGAGCGGATGTGGAGCTGTGGAGCAACTTCCTATCTAGAATCGGCGTTTCTATACTACTAACACTATAAAATTATCAACAAAACCGCCGGATTTGTGTATAAAATAACACTTTATATATTTATAAGAGTTAAATATAACAAAAAACGCTGCCATACCTTCCTCCGCTACAAATCCAACAACAGAGTCAGTATTTAAGAAGAGCCAGTCTAGTACAACAATCAAAGAAAAATCTTTACTACTAAAAATCTTACTACTTTATTCTGCTCGCTGAAATATTATTCCTTTACGCTTTGTTTTAATTCTTGTCTTGGTCGCTTTGTTACTTTATTCTACTCGCTGAAATATTGTTCCTTTTCGCTTCCTTCTCGTCTTGGTCGCTATGTTATAATTTATTCCGTTCGCTGAAATATTGTTATAATTGATACGAGCAGTAACAAATAAAAAGAAATATTACAGTTTATATCAATTCTATGTTATAATTTATTCTGTTCTGGCTGTCTTAAATCTGTTGTTTGCAATTGCAATTTGTATTCCTAAATTTGTCTAGAAATTTATTTGACTTATGGTATGCTAGAGTTTTTCATGGGTTTTCCTCTAGCCTTGAAGCAAATGCTTTACCATTGTACAAAAACGCCCCCATGAGCATGAAAACGATTAAATGTAAATATTTGTCTATAAATATACATAGATTTGTTCTTCTGAAGTTTGCATTTTTATTTAATAACATTTTATTAGTTTTTTTTAATATCAATTTCAAAAAATCACTGTTTTCATCTTAAAACTTGTTCAAGTTTTGAGATGAAAATTTTTGATATTTTGGAACTATTTATCAAAAAAATTTTAAAGAGTAATGAGATTTATATTCAAACGAGCATTCAAATTCCCGCTCGTATTTATCGATCCACTACACTACCGCCATCTACATCGATTCAATTTATGTGAGAGAGAAAATACCATACGAAGTTTTGATTAGTTAAACAAGGATAGATAGGAGTGCCACTTTTATTAGCCGGAGTTCGGCCTCTGTATACTCTCTGCTCTCTGGTGAACAGTTAGTCGTAAGCGTCCACAGAGTATACAGAGGCCGAACTCCGGTTAATAAATTGGCACTCCTATCTATCCTTGTTCAACTAATGAAAACTTCGTATGATACTTTCTCTCTCACATAAACTGAATCGATGTGGATGGCGCAATGGTCGCGTTACAGTAGTATTTAAAGAAACCAATAGATGGCACCATTTATTTCAAAATTTTTAAGTCGTAAACTCGTAGAGTTTAAAGAAGGCAATAGATGGCGCCATGTATTTCAAGTCGTAAATCTGTAAATCCCAAAGCTACGTCCAGTTGGTCCAGTTCTATCAGAATTTGCGTGACTTGCTTATTCAGCCATTTAAAAATTTGTATCTACTTCATCAATCTTTTATCTGCGTCTTGTTTAATTATTGTGTAGTTTTGCCTGTATATCGTTTGATTATTACATAGATTTGTTTAGTAGTTTATTTGTTTGTATACCTTAGTTTTCATTAGTTTATTACCATAGTTCGTTATCTTAGAATTAGTTAGTTTTTAAGTCCTAGTCGAGTTTTATAGTAGAATTTAGTTGTAATGACGTTCGGTAGAGGAAGTGGTTAAATTATTTTCTTTTCCATTAAATATCAATAAGTAAATTTATAAATTTAAGTTAGATAGATTTTTTGTACTAAATGAAAATCTACTTTGATATTTTAGACAGCGATCATGGAATGAGTGTCTTGGTGTACCAGCAGAAAACACATATTCTAAACGAATGAGAATTTGCAACAATCATTTTACAATGGAAAGCTTTATATTGAATAAGACCCCCTTGACCTTAAAAAGAGATGCAAAGCCTTTAAGAGTGATCATGATTGTAAATTCTAATTTCTTACTTCTAATTGCTTCCATTTACTTTTAGAATTAAATTTACAGTTCTAATGACATTTTCTTTATTCAGGAAGCACACATTGTAACGAGTGAATCGCTTAGACAGCCTGAACTGGAGCAAGATAATTTAACGGATTCTGTCATAGTAAGTTTTACTTTTATTTTCACTTTATCAGTAACATTGATAGGATACCATATTATGCTGAGAGCTGTCAGAAATAAATATTAATTAATTTCTGTGCTGGTTATTGTTATTTTTTAATACATTATCACTTTTTACTGAAGAAGGTTTTTTTACTTTGTAATGTAGGTGGGCATTTAATAATAATAATAATACATGTTTATTGATGATGCAACAAAAGTGCAACAAACCAAAAAAAAATATATTTAAGTAAATAAAATCATGAACACTGTAAAATTATCAACAAAAACGACCGGATTTGTGTATAAAATAACACTTTGTATATTTATAGGAGTTAAATATAACAAAAGACGCTGCCATACCTTCCTCCGCTACAAATCCAACAACAGAGTCAGTATTTAAGAAGAGCCAGTCTAGTGCAACAATCAAAGAAAAATCACTGCGACGAATTTTAAAGCACAAAGAGAAACAGATCCGGAGACTTAAAAAGAATTATGAAAACAAAACCACATTAGAACCACTGAGAGATATGTTAAGCACACCAGAATGCGTCTGCCTGAAGAAGTATTAACTACAAATGACATTCAAGACTTAATTTTGTTCCTTTTTGTTTTGTTTTAATTCTTGTCTTGGTCGCTCTGTTACTTTATTCTACTCACTGAAATATTGTTCCTTTTCGCTTTGTTTTAATTCTCGTCTTGGTTGCTATGTTATAATTTATTGTGGTCGCTGAAATATTGTTCTAATTGATACGAACAGAAACAAATAAAAAAAAATATCAAAGTTTATATAAATTCTTAATTTGAAAACAACAATTACTTTATAAGTAAAACAACATTTTATCATTAATTCTGTCTACTGCTCGTTTTCGCTGTAATACTTTTAATTTTAGTCGCTTTGTAGAATTTTTTTATTCTGGCTGTCTTAAATCTATTGTTTGCAACTGCGATTTGTTCAATGGTATGTTAGAGTTTTTCATGGGTTTTCCTCTAGCCTTGAAGCAAATGCTTTACCATTGTACAAAAACGCCCCCATGGGCATGAAAACGATTAAATGTAAATATTTGTCTATAAATATACATAGATTTCTTCTTCTGAAGTTTGCATTTTTATTTAATAATTTTTTATTAGTTTTTTTTAATAACAAGTCCAAAAAAATCTTAAGAGTAATGAGATTTTTATTTAAACGAGCATTCAAATTCCCGCTCGTATTTATCGATCGACTACACTACCGCCATCTACACAGTTTCAATTCTCTAGAGAGAGATAGAATATGAGGTCCAAATGAGAGCGGTATAAGTTAAGCATCTGGTCATCTGTGTTTCTTATATTATGTATTTGTATGACATCAACTATAAAGATGACTGCGTTTATTTAAAGTTATGAATTAAAAAATATATATTATAGTTACATTAATTCGAATTCCTTCGTTAGATTAATAACGTTGATTATTTGGAGTCCGAGTTTAACCTAAATTTACTATTTATTATCATTACTAAAATTTTTAAGAAAAAGGTTATTGTGAGAAGTAGGATGAAAAAGGGAATACGGTCATTCGTTTTCAAATCTATTGTTATTCAGGTAGGTAAACAGAATGGTTGTTGGGTTAAATATTTTCTAGATGTTTATTTTGTACCCTTAGTCAGGTAGGGATATTCTAGAGGAAAAATGTTAAAATTGTTCATTTGCTGCAGTTTGAGTTCTTATCGATCCTTTGTGTATATGCTTACTAGTTATTTTTTAATAGTTAATAGTTTTTTGTAGTTAGTGTTTTTGTTAATAGTTGTAACATTTTTCTTATTAGTTCATATATTTTTTATTAGTAGTTATTATTAGCTAGTTTATTAGTTTTTCGTAGTTAGTGCTTTATCTTAATAGTTTTTTACATTTATCGTATTAGTTCATATTTTTTTTATTAGTTAATAGTTTTTTTCTTAATTATATCTTTTTTAATTGTGAGCTTGAACAAAAAAATGAAGTTACGGGCGTGTTCTGTAGCTGGCTGTAAAGACAAGACATCTAATAGGCATAGATTTCCAAATCCTGCAGTGAATATGCCAAGATTCGAAAAGTGGATTGAAGTTTGTGGTAACGACAAATTGTACACCATATATCCAAAAAGAATATACGATAATTATCGAGTGTGCCATTTATATTTCACAAAGGCAGATATATTGTCAAGTAATTTGTTATTAAAAACCGCTATCCCAAATAGGTTTTTACCAAATGTGCAGGCTACAAACAGTATGTATAAATTATAAAATAGGTATTATGATTTAGTAAATAAACTTAACATACACAATTACAGATACTACATTGTTAAATACCGTAGAGCAAAGCTCCACAACGGATGCAAGTGCATCATCAATATCGCAAAATGAAATATTAATGGGTAAGTTATTAATTTTTATTCTTATACCAATTAAACTAATGCTGTTATGAAAATTATAGAAGCTGAATCAAGTTCATTAGAAGAACCAGGTACATCCAAGAATGCTGGCCCGTCAACCATGCCAGATGAAGAAATGTTATCATGTAAGGGCCGATTTACATCAGACGAACGAATGCTCATTCTATCCCCACTCTATCATATTCTTTTAGTGTAAACAGATGTAGAGCATTCTTTCGTTGTTCTGTCTGTGTTCTCAAAGATTCTAGGGAATATTCTAAGAATGTTCGATCGCTTGATGTAAACGACACTAGAGCGTGCGAACAATTGCTTAGAGCCTTCTTGCGTGTTCGGACGTGCTCGCTCATCGGAGCGGTCTCTTCAAAGCGTTCTTGTGTTCTAGCCGAATGAGCATTCGTTCGGCTGATCTAAACATCTATGTGCAAGAATTCTAATTCTTGATTCTCATTTTTGCTCGTTGATATTTTGGTGTAAACGCGCTTTCGTTTACACTAAAAGATCAAGAAAGAATGCTCTTGTTCTAGCTCTAGCTCTTTGCTCGTTTGGTTTAAATGCACCTTAAGATAAATTTTTATTCTATAGTCTGTTTTTAAACTAGGAGGAGCATTTTAAATTTCTCACCAGATTGACCTTGCACGTGAATTTTGAATTTGATGGTTAAGTTAGTGATCGTTCGATCATTTCGTGTGTAATACTTCAATTTAATTGAATTACTTTTGTAAAATTATATTTGAAAATAAATACACCCATAACTTCAATGTTAATCTGTATGTTTAGTGTTAACGATAACAAACGAAAATAAATACAATAATAAGTAATAAAATAAACAATAATTATTAATTTAAATTTACCGCTAAAATATCTAGTGATATTTCCTGGTATAAATCTGACTTTTGGATTCACTCCTCCTAGTTTAAAAACGGACTATAGTATAATGATGATTATTGAAACAAAAAATGTTTTAAATCACAATATACTAGATATTTTAATTGCTTCAATATTTTCAGTTTCGTCTGAAAAAGAAGATAAAGGTTCTTTATTGCAAGAAGTTGAAGTTCGGAGAGAGAAAGATTTGTCGCCAAAAGCCCGAACATTATATAAAAGAGCTACTCATTATAAACGATTACTACTTAAACAGAAACAAAGAAATGTTGTTATAAGAAACAGACTGGCTCATCTAGAGAATATGAACAGTAACGAACTTTTAAAAGTTTTAAAATTTCCAATAAAATTAAATGGGGCCGGATTGACGTTTCTTCCACTATGTTGTCTCATTTGTCCAAAGAAATTTTCTATTGGATTTGGGATATACCATATTTTTCTTGCAGATATTTGAAAATGCCCTCCAAACTATTTAACGTAACAATCCAGTTCTTGATGGATGGTGGTGTTGATCTGCTGCCTTTCTTATCTACAAATTTCATGGTAGACAACATTTTTTTAGCATTTTGCCAAAAAGAGAGATGAGGCGATTTACTCGTTACTGCACAACGCAATGGTATGTTTGTGTTTAGCGCTAACTGACTGGAATTGACACTATCGAATAGATCATTGAAAAATTTGATTGTGTATACAGTGTCCATTGCAGACTGGTCCAATTTTCGTCCATCTGCACTAGTTGTACATGTGAAGTTCAAAATGCAATTTCCGCATTAAAGAACATTTTATCTGCCGTTCCTTTTAAAGCACCCTGTGAACCCTTTCCAGTAGAATTTTTATTAAATTTATTTATTAGGGTTAGGATATTTTTTACGTTAAAATCTTACAATAAATTATTAAAAACAGATAGAACTAAAGAAACATCAAAAATGATAAATTTGTTAAACATTTAAGTTTGTATTTAGTGCCATATTAATAATATATTATATTTTCTTCTTAAAAAATCTCATTTTATTAATTAAAATTAATTGTCCAGTAAGTATTTATAATTTTAAATTCCTTAATTATGTAATGTACGACCGAGTTTCAAGATGTCGTCCGGTTGAACGTCGTAGTAGGAAGATAAACACAATTTTCTTACTTAACTATCTTTATTTTCTCCAGGCGAAGGGGTTGGTACAGAGTATGGTGATCTTTTCGGTTGTAGTTTGATACTGTTATTATTCGGTTTTACAAATTTCGAGATCTTTTATATTAAGTCGAAGCGATTAGAATAATCATTAAGTAACGAGAATTACCAAAGTTCGTTCTTAATTGTTTTCGTCTTTTGGTGATCAATTGTTTGTTCTTGATATTTAAATGACATTTAACGGATGTTTTCTTAGTTATCTACTTATGGTTACTCTATTTTAATCTTAAATTTCTTAATTAGATTATTATTTGAAGTTATAACAAGATAATGATTGTTGTTACATTATAGTTATATTACAATTGTATTACAGATACATTACACCTTCCCCCTTAGAGAAAAATATATACTTATATATATATATTTTTTTTTTTGTATAAAAATAAAATTCTTAACCTATCATAGTAAAACGGTTTACATTTAATTAAATTTAGATATATATATATATATATATGCAAAATTATGAAATATTCTTTAACTTTTTAGTTTTGCAATTCTGGTGCTTCTACGTAACGGAGATTGGCTTATTTCCGGTAATTCGATATTTTCAGGGTCATGGTCAATCACTTCACTATGTTGTTTAGCAGTTATACATGGCAATATGGGTTTTCCTTTACGGTTTCTATACTTAGATTTGATATGTTTGTAAATTTTATATAGAACATACAGTCCTATAAATTTTAACGTTGTCATTAAGAAATAAACAAAATATGAATTTTGTAAGATATTAAATGATTCGACATCGTCAATTTTATCTGATATTTGGAAGAGTTTGTGGTTTACGATATCTAAACTTTCTATATCTAAGTTATTGATATGTAGGGGTGTAATTTCTGGGGATGTGTTTTTAATATTTTGTTTTGAATAGTGATCTTCTAAAATATTAAAGCTTGGGAATGTTATATCAAGGGTAGTTCCGGAAGTTAAATTTTTGTTAATGGGTTTTAAAACTGCTGAATTCGTAAAGAGTCGACACTTTGGTNATTCTTGTATGTACGCTTTTTATTTTATTTACCTTTATTTACATTCTTTCGCATTCTTTATAATTTTCTTTATTAATTGCACGATTTGCATTCATTGCAACCGCTTTCGCATTAAAGCTGTATTGATTTTATTGATAGAATTTAATTATTTTTTGAATCCTTTTTCTTTTTCTTTTAACCGGCACCTCGCATTTTAGTTCGACAATTTTCCTTTTTTTGTACGAACATTAATGGTCCTTCGAGCCGGATTCAGTTACGTTTCTTGGTTTTTTCTCCGCTTCTGTTATTTTCGCCTATTGGCTTCTTCAGTGGCTAGCGTGTTTCTGGGTCCTTCACTGAACCGAGTAGGTGATCGACACTACTAGACGCACGACGCTACGACGCTCCTATACGTTATTCTTATTAATTTTACGCATTTTCATTAATTTACAACGCACTCTGAACTCCTTTGTCATTTTTGAAATCCGCTTTTTTGTACGCTCACATCTGGAGCTCACATCTGGAACGAGATTTATTCTTATAATCTGTTTACAATAATTTTCGCAATTTATATAGACTGGTCCGAAATTTCATTTACAAGTTATATTGATATTTTCTTTCGGTTTTTACAATGGCTGATAAACTCGCGAAGATTCTTCTACGTCGAAGCATCGAATTAAATCGACTTATCGAAACATTGGGCTGTGGCCGCAGTCTCACCACTGCACCTGAAGACGAATTGGTTTTTGTCGCACGTGCTGGTGATATAGAAAATACTTACAGACAATTTCAATTATTGCATAATCAAGTTATTGGTTTAATTACCGAGGAAGAGTTTGATGAGCATGATCGTACTCGCCAACGGGCAGATAGCGCGTATTTTTCTACAAAAGTAATTCATCAGAGAATCAAAGATTCTCATATTACTGAAGAACTACCTACTACTCTCGAGTCTCCAAAGTTGAGCAAAATTATGTTACCAACATTTACTGGTGATTTCAAAGCATGGCCAAGTTTCTTCGATTTGTTCCGCTCCATGGTGCACGAAAATAAATCCTTTTCGGATGTTATTAAATATCAATATTTATTGATGTCATTATCTGGTGAGCCATTACAACTCATCAAAGGGTTGCCTATGACGAATGACAATTACCCTATCGCGTTTGAGATGCTTAAGAGTAGGTATCAAAATAAAAGGCATCTTGCCACACTGTACTACAACGAAATACAGGGCATAACAATAAAAGAAGAGGGTTCCGCTAAAGCCTACCGTTCATTAATCGACACATTCACAGAAAATGTGGAAGGGCTCAAGACTCTCGGATTTCCTGTTGATTCATGGGATTTCTTATTGTTCAATATCCTATTACAAAAATTAGATACTTCGATTAAAACCAAATTTGAAGTTGAACATTGCACGTTTGAAATACCTACATATTCGCAGTTGATAACTTTTCTGGAAAGTCAAGCTAAAGCATTAGACTCTGTTAAGCTTACTTCATCAAACTCCAAAAATATAAAACCTAATCTCACTCGTCAATCCAAGCCCAATTCAGCAAGCTTCGCCACTGAAACACAATCTAAGCCAAGTAATTTTAATTGTCCTTTATGCAACGATGTTCACAATTTATACAAGTGTTCAACGTTTCATGGCAGAACACCCGCACAACGATTTGAATTTGTCACTAAGACCAATCTTTGCAAAAACTGTTTAGGCTGTCGACACTCCACCAGTAAATGCAATTCTACGAATGCTTGTCGTATCTGTAATAAACGTCACCACACTTTATTACATCTGAATAACCCAATGAATGAGAATACTTTAACATCTAACATGCCATCACAATCCCCATCGAATACAACTGTTGGATCTGCGTTAAATTCCNGATAGGTTTAGAACTTAAGAGACTTTTTAATTTTTCAAAAGAATTCTGTTGTAGACTGGTCCATAGGAAAGGAGTATCCTTTTTTAATAGTTTGGTAAGAGGTTGGGCAATAGAACTGAAGTTTTCTATGAATCTTCTATAGTAACCTGCTAATCCAAGAAACGATTTAACATCTTCAGGGTTTTTCAGGGAAGGATAATCGGTTATGGCTTCGACCTATTTGGGATCTGGTTTAACACCTTCAGATGTGATTAGATGTCCTAAATACATTACTTCGCGTCTTAAGAATTCACACTTGTCTGGTTGAATCTTTAAATTATATTCACGTAATCGTTCGAAAACTTCCTTCAGTCTTCTGTTGTGGTTTTCTAAAGTATCGGAATGGATTACGATGTCGTCGAGCAGCGTTCGTTCTGGAGACCCGATAATACGTTGTTCATTAACCTCTGGAACGTTGCTGGAGCGTTTTTTAATCCAAAGGGCATTCTTACGAACTCATAGTGTCCTGACGGTGTTGAGAACGCGGTTTTGTTTGCATCTTCTGGATCCATTTGAATTTGGTGAAATCCTGATGTGAGGTCTATTGTTGTAAAATATTTTGAATGACCTAATTGATCTAGGATATCGGATATGTTTGGTAGCGGATATGAGTCACCTACAGTTTGTTCGTTAAGTTTCCTGTAGTCTATGACTATTCTCCATTTCTTTTTTCCAGATGCATCCATCTTCTTTGGTACAACCCAGAGTGGAGACTTCCAAGGACAATTCGATGGTTTGATTACGTTTTGATCCAACATATTGGTTATTTGTCTATCTACTTCTTCTTTATGGATGTGTGGATACCTATACGTTTTGGCATTTACAGGGAACGAAGTGGTAGTAGGAATTTTGTGTTGGACAGCATTGGTATGACTTAGTTTGTCACCTTCTAAAAAGAATATATCATTGTATTCGATACAGAGCTTTCTTAATGAAGAATTTTCTTCGGGATTAAGATGATTAGTTCTTAATAATTCGTTAATTTTTTCTAGTCTATTAGAATCTGAATTTTGTGTTTGTATGGTATGAATTAGAGCTTGATTTTCTTTTATTTGTAGGGGAGTGATTTGAACCTTAACGTTTGGTAGTCTAACTTCTTGTTCTGTGGTATTCAATATTGATGTGATTACATATTGGTCGTCGGAAATCTTTACTAAGCTAGGACATGAAAATACACCTTCAGAAATATCTATCTTTGGACAGATTCCTTCTTGAAGTTCTGAGTTAAGAGTTCGAATTTTTACGATTGTTTCGGATCTAGGTTTTAGAATTATTAGTTGATTTAGATTTCGATTTTGAGGTTGAATTTGATTTTGAGATTGATTTAGATTTTGAGGTTGAATTTGATTCTGAGATTGATTTAGATTTAGAGATTGGATTTGATTTTGAACTTGAGGTAGATTTTTGTTGAGGATAGATGAGTTTGTATTTAGATTTAAAGGTATGGAATTATCATCGATTTCGAGGGTATCTAGTTTATAATTAATTGAGCAATTAAAAGATTGAAGCATATCGGCTCCAATAAGGCCATCGAAAGGAATTGGAAAGTTGTCGGGGACAACATGGAAGATGTGAGAATATCGATTTTGATTAACGACGAGATCTAGGTATACGTAACAAATAGTTTCAAAATAACCTTTCAGTGTAATGATGTTGTCTTCGTAACATGGAATTTCGCCTTTAAGTTTATTTAACTTTATCAACGAAACGTCAGCTCCAGTGTCAATTAAAAACGAAGTTTTATCATCGATTAATTGAGGTACATTGATTTCGACATAGTTACGATTTGTGTTGTTTACTGTTGAGATTCGGCCTGAACAAAATTTGCGTTTCTCGGCTTGGCCGAATTTGGCTGAGCACGCTGGGAGTTTAAATGTGAGTTATAAGATTGAGGGGTGTCTGAATTGTGATACTGTTTGTTTTCTCGTTTATTATTGTTGTACTCACGTTTTCTGCATTCACTGATCACATGTCCGTTCTTTTTACAATAATTGCAAAATTTCGAATTGTAATTACTATTATAATTATTAGAGTTATTTTGATTTGAGTTTGGGTTATGATTTGAACTGCGATGTGAATTTTGACTTGACCCTTGAACCTGATTGATATGGAATTGCCTTTTATTATTTTGGAATTGATTTTTGTTATTGGGTGGTTGTTGATTTTTATATCTACAATTGAATGTGGTGTGACCCGATTTGTTGCAAATATTACATAATTTTGCATATGAATTATTAACATTTTGATATTTGAATATGTCTGCTTTTGATTTTAATTCTTGTTCTTCGACTAACGCCAAAGCGATTGCGCTTTCTAGAGAATCTGGTTTTTGTGACTTTACAATTAACGCAAGGTCTTTATTTAGACCACTTATAAAAATTCTTAATGCTTCGTTTTTCAATAAATCTGTGCACGCTGTACGAGCTTCTCTAGTAAGGTCCTCGTCTAAAGAGTTAATTAATTTTACATAACAGTGTTCTATTTTATTTGAAAAGGATAAAACGTTTTCGCCTACATTTTGACGACAAGAATTTAATTCCAATTGCCATTGGCTCATGGTTCGTTTTTCGGAATATAAATCTAACAAATGTTGTTTTAATTCCTGCCAATTATTAAATGAANGGTTTTACAAATTTCGTGATCTTTTATATTAAGTCGAAACGATTAGAATAATCATTAAGTAACGAGAATTACCAAAGTTCGTTCTTAATTGTTTTCGTCTTTTGGTGATCAATTGTTTGTTCTTGATATTTAAATGACATTTAACGGATGTTTTCTTAGTTATCTACTTATGGTTACTCTATTTTAATCTTAAATTTCTTAATTAGATTATTATTTGAAGTTATAACAAGATAATGATTGTTATTACATTATAGTTATATTACAATTGTATTACAGATACATTACACAAACAATATTTTTTCCTAGCATTTTTAATGTTTCAATCATAATAAAACTGTTAATTCAATAATCCATTGCGGAAGTTAACCTTCTTAGTACTTTTGCATGAATTGCTAAGAATACTACCAGTTTTTTTAATAAAAAAATGCCGGGGTAAAGAATATCCTTAGTTTTATAGATTTTCACTTCCGAAATATGGCTAAATAGATAATTTTTAAATTCCCAATATTTTCCGATTGTACGAAGAACACTTCGAACTTGTTTGTGAAGAAGGTAGCAACATGGCATCCGAAACGTCAAACACTTTTTCAAAAGACGCACGGCTTAACCCGAAAGTTTCTAGGTCTAGTGTTAGTTCTAGTGATAGTGCTACTGTTAGTTCTAGTTTTAGTTAAACAGTTACTTTTAGTTAAAAAGGTCGTTGTAAAAATATATTTTAATTCTTGAAATATTTCCTTTTGAAGTATACATAAATTGATGATTTTTTAATAATATTTTCCGAATATGTTTGAAAAATCGTTAAAAATCGATTACTTAAACAACCATTTTGCCTCCGCACTGGTAAATCCCGAAGAATACCAAAAGTGTAGAATCTAGATTTGTAAGTTAAAAAAAGACCCATTGCTTGACTTGGAGTCTATATCAAAACGAGGTCATTAACACCTGGTGTTGTCGAAACCAAGTACTCCTCTAATGTCTGTGGATTTATTTATGAACGGCAAATTGTGGCTTAACCGCCCGGATAGGGGAGAGACAACATTATTGAAACCCTTAAAGTATATAAGCGAAGTCTGGATATCTGCAAACCTAAAGTTTCAATTTCAATAGGCTAATTAAGGTATGAGACCACTGCCATAATAAGATAGATCTTTCATCCACAAAAATTACCGAAGTTCGTCCGCAACTCATATGTTTCTTATCTTTTGCACTCGGAAAGTACAATAAAAGTAGAAAGGACCCTGTGCATCATGTTAGGAGCGGTGTTTTTTGGAAGTTAATCTTCAATATAGTCTTGGAAAAAAATAAAATTCCGCAAAAATTGGATGTAACTCCGACTCTTGGGTCAACGCCCGAGCAGCTGGTCAAGAAGTTATACCAGTTAAGTCATTGTTGTTCAAGGCAGCTGTGAGAGGACTCAAGGTTGCATTGATTCATCGAAAATATTCCGCCCTACAGTTCAATGCGGAAGTTATCATGGATACAAATCATTTTAGTTGCAAAACGCCTTTACGACTCTTGGGTAAATCTGGTTCGAGAATTATGTATTGCATATTCGCCTGGAAATGTTTATAAAAGCCCTGGAATGTCTAGCTTGTTGCCCATACTTCCATTTGCGCATAATCAACTTCCGATTGATAAGGAATAAACAGCAAGGGTAGACATGGCTAGACATAGACAGGATGAATGCTAGGAAAGGTTGGAAGCACTACAAGAAATCAACATACGAATGGACCATATATATATTGACATTCTTATGCAGTTTAGGTCCAAAATCACCTGTGGATTGACTCTTGTAGACACATAACACAATCGGACCTACATATATAACAATTCATCGGTGGGATATGTATTTATAAAATTGTCGGGTTGCCTCTGCCACGGTTTCTGTTTAAAGCTAGGTACATAGTGTCGACAAAGTCGCGGCGACAAAGACGCAAAGAAGTCGCATTCAGTATAAAATGCATGTAGTGTTCATAGTAACTGCGACAAAGACATTGTCGCGGCTGTGCGCGACTTAGTTGCATCTCGACAAAGACGCACCCATACGCAGCCTAGTGTAACGTAAATAGTGCCGTAAAATTTGTGTTCATGCTATCGCGTCAGTGTCGCTGATATTAAAAAAAGTTGAAAAATTCGCTATTCCGCATGTTTATATTTTTGTTTTAAGTTGTAGAGGGCGCTCAACTCGAGTTACATTCAGCTTATATTAATATAAGTTAATCGTTGTAGAACGAATACGTTTGTTTGTTAACAATACTTGACAATAATGTTTGACATCGAAAAATTTATTGATGCTATTGAAGAGCGTCCAGCTCTATATAATTTAGCAAATAACGACTACCATAATCGTGACTTAAAAATTAGGTTATGGGAAGAAATCGGAGAAATAATGTATTTAGATTGGGCTAAGTTAAATAATAAAGAAAAAAACGAAAGAGGTAAGTTAAAGTGTAATAATGTACTTTATTTCATGAAATAATTTAAATGTAATCATATTGCCAAGAAAGTGCACCTACAGAGGACACAAAATAGTCGGCAAATTTTTCCCTCGTAGCTAATGCAATATTTGAACCACCTCCAGTCGCAATAGGCTCAATATTATCGAATTGAAAATCTTGTACCTCGTCATTGTTGTGCGACCCATGATTATCTTTTCTTATTACAAAATTATGTAGTATACAAGCTGCCTTAACAACATCTGTAACAAAGTCGGGATCTAAATTTATTGCAGTATGGAAAATTCTCCACTTATTAGCAAGGATTCCAAAGGCACATTCAACATAACGCCTTGCTCTCGAAAGTCGGTAATTGAATATTCTCTTTCTGACGCTCAAATTTTTTCTGCTATAACCTCTTAAAACATGTTTACTACAACCGAAGGCATCATCTGCTACAATCACCATTGGTGTTTTTATTTTTGTTTGGAGTATAATGTTATCTTCCGGAATGTTTAACGTGTTGCTTTGTATTCTCTTAAACAACGAAGAATTTTTGAATACATTACTATCTCCACTTTTTCCATATGCACCTACATCAATGGCCGTAAAGCAGTAATTGCTATCTACCAAACCAAGTAACACAATAGAGAAAAAATGTTTATAATTGTAGTATAAAGAAGCACTATGTGGTGGTTTAACAATTCTGATATGTTTACCATCGAGGGCTCCAATACAATTTGGAAAATTGCTATTCCGGAAGAAATCGTCTGAAATTTTTTTCCACTGTTCTTCTGTGGGTTCCGCTAAAAACTCGTTCACCATAGTATTCCATACAGCACAACATGTTTCTCGAATAATATTGGACACAGTTGATACACCAACACGATACTCAAATGCCAATGATCTGAAGGAATTGCCCGTTGCTAAGAATCTAAAACGTAGGAGCATATTATTATAAAACTTTTAAAATCATATTATTTTAGGAAAAACCATGCAGAAAAAATGGAAGTCTGTAAGAGACAGCTTTAATCGAGAGTTAAGACTTCAGAAATTTCAGAAAAGCGGAGACTCGGCAACAAACAGAAAAACGTACGAATATTTTAACAAGCTTTTGTTTCTCTTGCCCAATTCTGAAAATCGTGAAACAGCTACTAATGTTTCGGTACAACTAGACGATAACGGAAATAATAATAACCTCAGTGAAACTCCATCTACATCTGGAACTCATAAAAAGAAGCGCAAAAGCAATTTTGAAGAAGAACTACTAAACATTTTACAATCCAAAAAGGCTAAATCTAATGACATTGAAAACGATAGTGATAGAATGTTTCTTCTGTCGTTTTTAAACGATATGAAGACGTTGTCTCTTCAAACAAAAAACTGGGTGAAAATGCAATTTATGCAAATAATGCAGCAAGCTACAACGGGGTTAAATGTCGGTCAACTTTCTCATGCAATAAATGTCGGACCATCAACACCTCAAATTAACCGACATTCAATTATACCCTTTAATTGTGAATCTACAGGCCATTCATCACAAAATTTTGAATCTCCTAGTCCAGCTGCGTCGTCGACAATGGATTCCGATATATATGATATGTACACACATTTATAATAATATTTAATAAATGCTTTCGTTATTACTTACCTGAGTGTTATTGCTACCCTTTCTTGAACAGTTATTCTTTGCATAATATTCCAATTTTTCTTTGAGACCGTATTTTTAACATTATTGCATAATGTATCAAATGTACTAGGTGTCATACGGTAATAAGCAAAGAACTTATCTTCATTCTCGCGTAATGTTATATGTAACGTGTGAAACTGTCCGTTAGTAAATCTATTTCTATTTATTGGATGAACAGAATATCTCCTCTGTCTTCTTTTCTTTCTTAAATGTCTGACAGCTAGTAATGCTACACAAGCATCATCAACGAAATCCATCTTTGAATTGCCAACAAACTGCACTACATGACGAATTTGTTCGACAATGTCGTGTCGCGGACAGTTTCAATTACTAGCGACAGCGACACGACATTGTCGCCGCGACTTTGTCGAGACTATGTACCTAGCCTTACTTGCTTACGATGTTTAAAATTGTTGTAGTAACTGTTAAACTCAGCAAAGTGGTGGTTAAACTGCTCCATACATAAATGAACTTGAATTTTTGACAAAATACATGCGTTTAAGGTTTATACATTAATCTATACTTCATCTATGTACATACGAGGATTTTTTCGTCATATTCAGGATAATCTCCTGCGCCATCTAATCTTACTTCACTAACTGATTTAGGAGTTGGAACGGTATTTTCACAAATAAGGTCCTTAGCAATGTACGTCCAGTGATGCAGTAATGTTTATGTTTGCCACATTTATAGTATGTGTCTATTTACGACTTCGTATTTTAGTTCCGTAGATGATCAACAAAATTGTCAACCCCTGCTATATGTTTATTACAATTTTTATTATGCCTGGTGTAATATTTATAATATCGTTTGCGTATCAGCTTTCCCTATACTCATATAGTGGGAAACGTCACTTCACCATCATGGCTGAAAAGCTCCTGCGCATATCTTCCTGCTTGGAAAAGCATGTTTTGTTTCCATGCATTATCTTCGATACTGCGTATGCTAGCGAACCCTGATAACATCGATAAGGCAAAATCATTTACCCCACATACGTTTCTTACATGATGACGTTCTTTACCTATTTTTAGTAGAATTATGATGGTCATCAAGTTCTAAGCCGCATCTACTCCTCTCAGGTTTTCGAAAGACGAAACTTCTCTATATCCCAGTAGGCAACGCTTTGGAATAAGATGATGTACATTACAGGTAAGCTTGTAATGTTGTAAAACGTCTACAATAATTCTGACCAAACCTGAACGAAAGAACGAATTGATATTGCCATCATACAGGAATATATTATAGGTAATTTATCTGGTATGATTCTCTACTCTAGGAATAAATCCAAAAATTGTCCAGTTATCAGAAACAATGTCAAAGCGAAATAATACTTTTCTGACAACATTGGAATTTGTTTTGATAAATAATAGTTAGATAATTATTCACAAACTGCGAACAGCTTGGACATCCAAAAAACTTCTGCAGCAGAGAAACTAGATGTGGTAAGTGTTCTGGAAACCATCACACAAAAGAATACAAAAAGCAACGCAATAACGAAGCAACTGGAGCATTATGCAATGAAAAAGGAGACACAGCATATTATCAAGCTTGTGAAGTTTACAACAGAACAACAGGCAAGAAAACTTACAGTAGTACAACGTTTACAGCAGAAAGCTAACAATACTCAAGTGTCAACAAATCCAGCTGCCATTGGAAATAATGAAACAAAAGAAAGTGCAACGCCATGTGTCGATTTATGCAGAAAATATACAAAAAGCTAACAACAAACAAGTAGAAGTAAACTAAAAAATGAATAACTCATTTTTGCTCATACTGCTCGAAGTTTTTCTCTATCACCTAACCATATAAACAGTGCTCATTTCAAAGACGCACTTTTCCAATAAGTATTACAGCAAAATAAGGGAATATGATGTCTACTGGACTACTCACCCGAGTGAATATGCAAAAATTAAGCCCACGGACTTCTTCATCTCCAAGAACATCTAAACAAATCAAATCAAAACTGAAGGTGTGTGTGAATTAACATCTAACCATACCCCCTACCTGTATTAACCCTAAGGGTGTCAGTAATCAAAAAAGCAATAAACAATTTTACTAACAAAAATAATGAGCGAGACAACTAAAGAGTAAAGCTTTACAAAACCTACTTAGTTTAAGCGCAAAACTGAAATATAAAGATGATCTTGACGCTTACACCTGAGGCTTATTCTTTGTTCATATGCCTGCTTGATATTGACCGTCAATATATCAGATATCAATTTCGTAATCTCCATTCCACAATACAATAAGTGCATAGAGTGACAACCGTTATTGAGAATGTATTTTGAACACCGAAAATACTGTCCTACAATTTTCCTGCACGTTTCATAGGATGTGGTACTAATTCACTGTTAACTAATGGAATCGCATCTTTCTGAAAGAGAGTTAAAACTGTCATATTAAGGGTCATACTCAACATTTAAATCGATCTTGCACAGCGTTCCACAAGGCAGTATCTTAGAACAACTGTATTACACCGCAGATATTCCAGTTTCAAAAGATACTGTACTTGGGACATTTGCTGATGAAACAGTTGTTCTGGCGAAATACTTCATTCAAATGAAAACTATGGAAAAACTTCAAGTAATCCTTCATCCGCAAACATTATCGATTTTAACTCAGATTTTTCTCCATTTCTGATTTCACCTCTTCTGCACTCGGAAAATACTATAAAAGTAGAAAGGACCCTGTGCATCATGTTGGGAGCGGTGTATTTTGGAAGTTTATCTTCAATATAGTCTTGGAAAACAACAAGATTCCGCAAAAATTGGATGTAACTCCCACTCATGGGTCAACTCCTGAGCAGCTGGTCGAGAGATTATACCAGTTAAATCATCGTTGTTCAAGGCAGCTGTGAGTGGGCTCAAGGTTGCATTGATTCACCGAAAATATTCCGCCCTACAGTTCAATGCGGAAGAGGTGGCGTTATCATGGATAGAGATCATTTCAGTTGTAAAACCCCTTTACGACTCTTGGATAAATCTGATTCGAGAACTATGCAATGCATATCCACCTGGAAGTGATCACTTGAGTGAATCTTTGTCATCGACGGTGTGTCTATAAAAGCCCTGGAATGTCTAGGGTATCTTAGGACGACTCCTGTATTACACCGCAGATATTCCAGTTTCAAAAGATATTGTACTTGGGCCATTTGCTGATGAAACAGGTGTTCTGGCGAAATACTTCATTCAAATGAAAGCTATGGAAAACTTTTAGTAGCACAACAGTAGCACTAACAAAATTTATGAATGGATTAGGGATTCGAAATTACAGTTTACCAGGTTGGTCCAAATGACGTGGTCAGTTCGGTCCACGGCAATTTTGCTTAGCAATGAATAAATAGCAAGCAGAATCAACAAAATATCTTGGTATCAATTAAGCATCTAACGTTGTCAAAGCAAATTTCTTAGACTGACACTAATGTTTATTGTTATGTAATCAATCAAGAATTGTATGATGACCTCTAAACTAAAATGGTCTATAAAGTAATCCAAAATTCTGTTGCGAAGAAGCAACTGCTCGTCCAATAAACAACGTATATGTTACTTGTTGGTGAGTTCTTTGTGATAGGATTTGAGTCTTGATAAGTGTACTGGTTTTATATGATTATTCTTAGTTCAACCATCACATTTAAAGTTGCAGTGTAGTATAGAAAAGTCCAACAGGTCTCAATTACTTGTAAACTTTCACGCAACAAGCTAGTTGTGTACGACCATTGAAGTTATGTGCGTCTTGCTTAGCATATCTCCTTTCCATTTAAATATAGAGAAAGACGCTATAACGAAGAAGTCCATTGACGTCAATCCTCTTATCAATATGCTATGGGCTTAGTTGATCAGCATCTGTCTATGCTATTGGAGTAAAGAGATCATCACTAGACAGTTATCTTTTTATGGTTCTGCTTCCTGAGAACCAGGATTGATTGTAAAAGCTCCCTGGATCAGATGGATATTTCTTTATACATATGTTGATAATTCAACAAAACTCACAAGAGTGGATGGATCATAAATAAACCTTCATAATAATAATAACAATAGTTTTATTGAATAAGTATGATTATACATTATTCTCGTCAATAATATACAGTTCGTAAGACTCAAAATATTACATATCCTTCCTTACAACCCATTTACAACCCAGTATTCATATACTACGAAAGTTCTTGTCCCAATTGAATAATACTCTTTTTCCAATAATACTCGTTTAACTGTCTGTTTGAACCTTTTGTTATTCAACTCTTTTATTTTTGATGGCAATGCATTGTACAATTTGACCGATATATAGTTGAAAGTATTCTGGGATTTTTTGATTCTGCGATATGGTATTAACAGACTATTTCCATGACGCGTGTTGTAGATATGTAGATCTTCGTTCTTTGGCAATCGTTCTTCGTATGAACATTAACTAGGCAGGTAAGTATGAAACAACCCGGGATAGTTAGGATTTTCATATCTTCAGTTACAATACTTATTTGTCAAAGTCATGACATTTTATTTTCAACCCCAGAGAATCTGGAAAACTTATTGATGGTGATTTGTTGATGTCACATTTTCGAGGTATTAAGAAATTGGTTTAGGATAGCCAGAGACACAGAGAGAGAGAAAGACAGTATATTTTCCGGTTGCTTTGATTCCTTAACACCTTTGGATGACTCTAATTTATTTATCAAAGTTATACAATATTTTGTAAAGAATTCTAATTGCTTAAAAGAAAATTCTTTGTTCACGAATTAAATACCTAGGCATTATTTAATCTCGATAACACCTGACTGTAGCAAAAAAAAGCACCTCATGGATATTAGTATATTTTATTCCTTCCACCCACATGATCGAGCCGGGTATAATTTAACGGGTAGCTCAATGTGTTGAGAATATATATGTATAACATACATTGATATGTTGGTAGAGGTAATGGTAATAAAGATAAATGATTTGCAAAGATCGACATATTGATAATCAAAACGTATCTGCAACAATTCAAATTCAAACATTCTGAATTTTTAACGTTTAAGAACCACGATATTATTTATAAACATATAAAAATAATTTAAATCTGAATAGAAAGCTTGAATTGTCCATATCAAAATGATTGAAAAAATGGTAAAAGTTTAAGATTTCATTTTAGGTTTATTTATGAAGGTATAGAAATAATATATAATACAAATTATAGCTTGAAATCTCCATTTTAAAAGATTGCACAAACATTTCTTTAATGTTTAATTATATGTATTGAAATTGAAGTATTATTGACTCTAACATGATATCCCTCTAAAATCTTTCCAAACTCGATGTAATCAAGAAAACTCAACTCCTCTAAATGTACTCTATAAATAAGGGTGCATCAATAATGCGTGCTCAATTTATTCGACATGTTGAGACTCAATTG